AGTGAAATGAGATGCAAAGTTTGTGGCGGACAAGGTGGTGGAAGGAGGGGGAGTCACAGGGCGAAGAAGTGCATCAAAAGTGTGAAACAGGTGTTTGGGTTGGTGGGACAGTGTGCTTATGAGGGTGTTGAAGTAGCTTACTTTTGCAGAGGAAAGAGCCATGCTGTAGGAGCGCAGCATAAATTTATAGTGGACAAAGTCAGATGCAAAGTGAGACTTTCTCCAGCAGCGTTCAGCAGTTCTGGAACATTTTTGGAGGTAACGGGTCAGCTTGGTGTGCCAGGGTTGTAGTTGGGGGCGCTTGCTGCGTTTAACTGTAGGAGGTGCCATGATGTCAAGTTGAGAGGAGAGAGTGGAGTTGTAGAGTGAGGTATTCTTTCCATTACTCCCTCCACCCAACAGGACTGGATGATCCCCTTCTGTTTCTAACATATTTCAAACACAATGCTCTACAATTTCCCTGAACTCGTGTTCCAGGTCAGAGTATTGTTTTCTCATTTGTCTCTGTATTTCTGGGCTTAAGACTGGGCTTAAGTCTGTGGTATTTATGCTTGCACAACTTGTTTTTTCTCTCTTTATTTGGGTGGTTCTGGCTATTCTATCCATAGTCTGTTTCTTCTGTGCTGCCATTTTTCTCTTCTACTGTTCCTCCTGGGACACTGTAATTTCCTTTGCTTGGACCAGTTCCCAGAGCTTCTAGAGTGGTTGCTTTGTCATGGTGGCCATTTTGTTGGATCCTGTGCCTCCCAATTGCGTTTTCCAGTGGCCTCTTGTAATCTGTGTTTGACCATCCAGTTATGCAGGACCACACGTCACAATGGTGCGACTGGTTCTAGAAATCTCTTACTGTCTCAGAATTTCCGCATTACTCACTGCATTCAGTGAATTGTTACATTAGTTTGTACAGGTAAGCCCTGTTCATTTGTGTTTGACATTGTGTTGCTGATGTTGCCTGTTGTTATACATTTGCTATACTGGTGAGTCCATGTTTTTTCTTGATTTTTCTTGCATTTTCTACATACAAGGAATCTTGTAGATTCCTTGTATGTAGATTAGGATTGCACCTGTTGGTCCTAGCTGCATTTTACAAGTCTGCCTATTGCATATACTCCTAGTTCCCAGGCTATTATTGCTCATAGGCCTTCGGGAGAGCCATACGCCATACTACTCAGGTCTCCTTTACCTACCCACTTTAGGCCTCCTATCCCTTCTCTGAAGTGAGCATCATCCCACCCCCATAAACATTATAAAGTCCTTGCAGTCACAATTAGCTGGCCTTCCAACACTTGCCTGATAGAAAACCTCAACTTTGGACTCTGATCCCCGTGCATTTACTGGTTTTTGAGCTGAAACATTCCCAGAGCTCTGAGTTCTCTGATCTTAAGCTGCCACTGAAAAAAAAGAGGAATCCTAGACATTCCTTGACAAACAAAAGGCTCCAGCTAAAAGGAGCAAAGTGTACTTTGTGCCAGAGTTATGTGGGTATCCAATTACACCTTAGCCGAGGAAGATGACCTGCTACCTCATTTGGCAGTTCTGTCGTGGACAGGAGTCTCGGATGCAGAAGCAACAGCTCACAACTCAAATTTGTTCGGGAGTCTTATCGGGGTGAGCCCCAACCAACCTGTGGCTCTCAGAAGAGCATCTCTGTTTCAGAGAATCCAGACTTCATTCTAGAGGCGGGTCCCATGTTTTATTCACATATGTTCCATTATTCACAGGCAGAGAAGTGGACACCTCCAGCTTATATAAAGTCTCCTATCTTAAAATTAAACATACAGTTCTATAAATACCTCTAACTGACACACTTGTTCAGTTTGTTTTACTCTATATTAATCTAGGGGTTCTATTTCTGGGCTTGATATTTGGTGTTATTTTTTTCGCACTTTTCTTCTATAAAGCATCATTTTTATTTTATATAACATCTGACATTCTATTGTATGTGTGTAGCTGTTTGGTATGGTTTTGTAGGGTAAAATAAAGTTTAATATATTTATGGGTTAATGGTTTAGGGTTATATAATGGGTTCACTAATGGGTAAGGGATAAAAATAGTGTATGGGTTAATCAATGGTTTATGGTTATTTAATAGTTTTATGTTAAAATTTGATTAACAGTTTAAATAATGATTTAGGTTAAATGGTTTTATGTTAAATATTTGCTCGATTATCAGAAGATGTTTTTTTCAGAAGAAAAGTTCTGAAAAAGCACAAAAATCATCTTATAATAGAGTCTATATAGCCAACAAGCAACTCCCAGAATCCGCCACTGCCTGAAAACAACTGGGAAGTTGCACCTCTAACACAAACACACATCCCCTCACACACGTTGCACGCCGCACATACTTTACCCCTTAAACACAAACTGCACTATCCACACACAAATACTCTGCACCCAACAGCCTGAGCCAGTTGTCAAGACCCCTGGGAAGCCAACCTCGTGCACCCAAAAATTAGAAAACAGGAGGGTGGCTTAAAATATGTACCTTTTGTGTATCTATGTGTGCATATGTGCCTGTATGTGTGTCTGTGTATCTGTACCTGTGAGTCTATGTATCTATGTGTATGTGTTTTCTTTTTTGCAACAAGATCAAAAATTTGGAGGTGGGGGGGCGGCCTTATAAACAGCAGTGTCTTAATCGAGCAAATACGGTAATTGCTTAGGGTTTAATAATGGTTTGTGAGTTAAATATAATTTTATGGGTTAAAGATGGCCCTGGCTTAACTTTTACACAGTAAAATATGGTTTGACATGCTGCGTTTTAGTTTTGCCTAGATATTACCCATCTGCCCACACCTGTATTCCACATGTCTACTTTAATTTTTAGAATTGCTGCATTTCTATGCACCAATATTACTTTATCTGACTTCCTGTATGTGATATTTTACCTTCTCAATAGCCAAGTTTCCAAACCAAAAGCTCACAATGCCATAACACTTTCTCCATGCCCATATCCCTGTAGCAATATTCTCATGTTATCATCAGCTATACTGCAATATCATCAATGCCAACAGTGTGGGTGCAGAAGAGGAGCATGTCCTATTTTCATCAATATCTCCACTGAGATATTTGGAATTGTGTGCTGAATGCAAGTTGCACCCCCAGCACATATGACATTGGCAATATTATTTCTGTGCACTGCACACAGAGAAACACATGCAGAAATCTCCCCCCTGCAGGTAGAGCACATGCAAAGGGAAGCTAGCTCTCCCTTCCCTCTTTGTTGCCACTCTCTCCATGCAACATTGGTACTTGTTTACACCCTCCCTCACCTTGCCAGCCCAGAGTGCGAGTATGCACTCTGAGCCAGCAAAATGGTCCAATCACAGACTAGTCTATGAGAAGCATGTGAATGTGCAGAAGAGCAGTGACGGCACTGGATTCCAAGTGAGGTGAGGTGAGACATTCTCCATAATGCCAAGTAGGACATATTATACCCTTTAACATGAAAATATAGCTATAGCTATATGAAAAATCTGTATAAAATATGCTGAGATGAAAAACTGCTTTAAAACCCAATATTGTGTATCCCCATTTCTTTAAATAACCGCTGAACTGCTGTCCTCATTTCTACTTTCTATCCTCTGACCATTTGCATGTTAAATAATGTCTGAGCAAAATGGTTTTTTTTTTGTTTTTTTACAAATTAGGAGGAGATAGGGCAGATGATACTGATGTGGAAATTTATACTAACATTCTGGCTAAAGCTGACAGTTGGCTCACATTTGGGCTAAAGAAGACTGATGCAGGTGGAAACAAGTCCATTGTTGTAGTGGGTAGAGAAGGGGACAAGGTATACTGGATTCCAAAGAAAATGGAATAAGCAGAACTCATCCAGAGAAGGTGAAACTGGTGAAGGAGCTAGAACTGCCTCAATCAGCACTGCAGTCTCACTGGTGACCTGCCTCCTTCAACAATGCTGGAGTTGGGAGAAAGTAAGTTTAAACCTGACAAATGTATATACAATGTAATGAAACACCACACCACAATGAAATTACAATTATCCCTGATATCTACATATACTTTGACTACAATTCCTATGTCAAACTATGTGACTAATATATAGTCAAAGCTTAACCATGCAAAAGAGGGGAGCAAGCTTTATTCTATCAGTGCTCACGGGGTAAGAGACTAATACACATAAGCTAAATGGAGTGTATAGGACTACATTATATACCAGATATGGGTAAACTGCTTCTCTTTAAAGGGTCCAATGCATCTTGTGGAACTTTTAAGGGCCCGCGCTATCAATGCAATGGCCCGAAGGGCAGAGGGGGCACAGTATACAAATGACCGGAAGGAGGGGAGCGCACTCCCGCCGATAATTCCTTGTAAGATTGGATGAGCCATGGACCACGGTAGAAGATCCTGTTTCCATCTAACCGGTCTGACAGGAACTGGAGCACTGAGAGTGCCGAACTGCTTCTGCTCAGACTGGAAGGAGGGAAACAAGCTCCTCTACCATAGTCCACAGCTCAGCCACACTACACAGGAGAGGTATGCTGGCACATGGGGGGTGGGGGGGATGGGAAGGAAATGAGACACATTGGAGAGTTAAGGGAATGGCACACATAGGGAGGCTGGAGGAATGAGACCCACAGGAGTTGGGGGAATGAAACTCATGAATGGAGGGGCTGGGGAGAATGAGACACATGGAAGGGAGGGAATGACCCACATGAATGGAGGTGCTGAGGAAGGGGACTGAGACACATGGGAGGCACAGTTTGGTTCTGTTGAATACTGCAATAAATTTAATTAAGGCTCTTGAATATTTCCAAATTTTAACATGAAGTTCTTACATACATGCAGTTTGGCCACCCCTGGTATACAAATATGTATTAGTATGTCAGTCAGAAGGTATAATTTGAGATCTTGTTAGCTGTGACATATACCACAAAATGCCTCTAAACTACCAAAATAGGAGGAAAATGTGAAAATAAGTTCAGACAGAGAGCACAGATGGGTAGTAAATAAAAGGCACCTGGTCCCTGTTGGATGCTGATAGGATTCATTTCTGATACACAGTGGGATACAAGGTGGGATTGAGACAGTAGTAAGTAGAAAGCACCCATTTACCATCTAAGGTGGATAAAACATACTAATATAGGCACCCCAAGAGAACTACTAGTTGTAATATTGCATAACGTTTCAGAACAAATGGACAGAAGAGCATAGAAAATATCCCATATGTAGGAGATTGCACCTAACATCCTACTACCCTGTTAGGTGCGATCTACTACAGCGGAGGTCCGGTATCTGTCCAAGAGTCAAAACTGTGTAGAGTTAATATGGAGCAAGACCTCTAATATCGTAGAGCTATGTCATACATTCATACACATCAAATAGATATATATTTTTCCAATAGGATTCAAATTCTAAATGTTCCTAAACTTATACAACCTTTATTTATTGTATAAGATAAAAAAAAACAAAAAAAAAACAACTTATATTTCATTTATTTTTTTAAAGCGATTCATTTAACATAATTGGAAATTCTGATGATTTGTGTCTATTTAAAATGTAATTTTGCATACTTCATCATTGTCATCAAATGTATTTTAGTTGCATAAATCCTACCTTATTATATATTACAGGCAAATAGCTAGATCTGCACCTTGACACACATATAAAACTTGTTTTCAGATGTATTATTCTTGACAATTATCATATTTCCTTTTCATGTAGGCCAAGCATACTCCACTTAGCAGCATTCACATTGTGAACTTGAAGCAAGTTCATGCACATTATCCTAAATCCATCTGTCATTTCTTGATCACCCATTATCTGTGCCCTGAGATCCTGCATTTTGTGTCTTTGCATTTTTCACATTGCTGTGGTCTTCATTTCAGTTTTGTGGAGCATATTACGTAGGTTTATTTTAATTGTTTTTTTATTTACTCAATATTTGATGAATTAATCGTAAAAATAATTACCTCGGCAGTTAACTTAAGACTGTCTGTAGATAAAGTGTTCATATCTGTTCAGCTATCAATTCGGTTGAAACGTTGTCACCTTCTGGAGAAATGACTGTATGCCCTTTAGCATGTGTTGAGAGGCTGTGCTTTCCCTTCTACAGTAAAGTTGGTTTGAAGGGTATTGGATGGAACAGTTAGATCTTGGAAAGGCTGCTGGCCCCCGACATACAGAAAAAAATTACCAGGTTCAACTTTCCACTGGTCAGTCCACACTGCTCGCTGCTCAGGCCGAACTGAGAAAAAGATCTTAACAGCACTATCCAATGGAACAGCTATTCGCTGAATACCCACCAATTGCCAACGAGGAACTGGTACACTAGCATTAGACCAGCTGATGTACACCTGCGCTACCTGTGGAGAGAGCATGGTGGTCATTAAATATTGCACTACAGAGAAGCATCTAGGGCAAAGGTCTATATTTTATGAATCGTGAGTCTTGGGGCTAGTTTGCTCAGAAAAATGCTATGTCCACATCTTACCTCTTCCCCAATTCTGGATCCAGAGTTATGCACCTGTACAGACAGTTGGAGGGTCTCACACATTTGCAGAGAGCTGTGAGTCACTACAAGGTCACTATAATAAAATTTGGTGTAGGACAGGCCATACCCAAAGGGGTAGAGAGGCACCTGGTTGCCGAAATAACGGTATGTTCGTCCATGCATAGTGTAATTTTCCATAGGAGGTACCTTTAAATAAACAATCAGAAAGCATTGGAAATATAATCTATCATATGCTATTTAACAGCTATTTATTTTAGCACATGTCCAACAGATCTGCCATACCTGCTGCATCCTGGCTGGCCATGTAACTGGCAGTCTGCCTGCAGGATTTACACCATCTGCTCCCACCATGGTTTTAGCAATGGCAATGCCAGAGGCTTGTGCAGGAAAGAAGCACTCCAGGATAGCCTGTACACCATCACTGCTCTGGGCCCATGAGACATCCAGTGGTCCGGCATTAAAGAGCAACAGGATAACTGGACGTCCTGCAGCTGGAAGATATGTTAACTATATAAATATCATATATAAATTACAATATTGCAAGGAACACCAATTAAACACAATAAACCAGGTGAGAAGTCATTCCATTCTAAAACTGTTTGACTGTGCACTGTAGTGGTTACAGAGGCGGATCCAGAACCGAATCTTGGGAGAGGCACTGGTGGTGGGCTGTTGCGGGGTGAAAAGGGCTGCAGCTGTACACATATGTGGACACTCACAAAGGGACATGAAAACACAGTAACATACATGTACCCACACATATACAAACATATACCTACACAGGCACACACACCTAAACTGACACACACAGAAACACATACACAGTCTGGCACACAGATACACACACACTGACTACCTACACACAGACTCACACATATACCTACACATAAGATACACACAGACACACACAGATACATACCTACACTCGCATTTACCTACACATACACAGAGAAACACTGACACTCACAGACACACATACTCACAGATACACACACACACAAACTGACATTCACAGATACACTCACATTTACCTACACATACACAGAGAGAACACTGACTTACAGACAAACACACAGATAGACACACATAGATACACTGACACACATTAACACATACCTAAACATACACACACAAATTGCCATTTACATTATGTTAACCACCCCCCTGCTTTCACACCTTTTGGTTGCAGGAAGGTGACTTCCTGGGGCTGGCTGATCCTGATGGGAGTCTGAAGCTGCAGAGCTCTCCCTCTTTTCTTAGTGGGAGTCTGTAAGCTGGAAGGAAGTAACAGTCACTTCCTCCCAGCACTCCCTGCAACATTAAAGGGCCCCAACAGGGCCCCTACTTTTTCAGGGGGAGTGGGGCAATTGCCCCGTCGCCCCCACCCTCGGATCCGCCACTGAGTGGTTATGGTACTTTGAGAGTGTTCTTTTAAAGAAAGTTAGCAGACTACTCACAAATGCTCAATTAAAATAATAAATTATTGGGAGGACAGTGCTTCTTGACAACTGCCCACTCAATCTGAAACAACTCCCTACTTCTACAAGGCACCGTCACACAAGCTGTAGAGCAGACACAACATTATTTCTCTAGATTGATGTGCACATCTTCGAACATTTAACTTTTTTCCTTTTCTCAGGAAGCTTCCTATTCTTATATTTTATATTCTTGGTATTTTATAGGATCACTATGCTCTGTGAATATGTATGATATAGTCTATCTTTCATGAGGGAATATTGACAGACCCTTACCATTCCTGAGATGGATCTATCCCAGGGAATGGATTCACAGAGTGCAAAGCTTTTCTGAATTTTTAGGCACTCCTAAAACACAGAGCTAACAAATTTCAGTTTTGCGTTTTCTTTTTTTTTTTTTTGAAGTTTAATAAAGTAAAAAGGTTTTAAAATCATGCATCTGTATTTAATGAACACTCCTGCCCAATTGTACTTAAAGGCAATGTTACAACTTTCACTTAGTGCACCCAGACCAGTATGGGCTATACCGTACATTCTGACCACAGTAACACTCTACTCTATGAACACTTTTATGCTCAGCTGTTGTATGTCTACTTGAAGACTTGCTGAGCATTGTATTTCTTGATGATAGACTTCATGATTTCTGCTTGGATATCGTATATCTCTTGCTTACAGGGTTCTCATTTGTTCTTAGATTGACTAAACCCCTTAAGGACACATGACATGTGTGACATATCATGATTCTGTTTTATTCCAGAAGTTTGGTCCTTAAGGGGTTAATGGACTGCTCTTCGTTAGGTCAGAGTCACTCGCTATTAACTACCATTCCTGTGACTACTCTAAAAATGTTAGCCCACTTTGTTGGCCGTGTACCCCAAATATGCTATTTGAAAGTAGTTTACTTTTTACCTATACTTCAACCACACTAGAAGTCGACACAACCTGAGGCTACAAACTTTAGTGTTAACATATTATATATATCCATTCCATGTTTAAAAGTGTTTTTTTCAATCTCTGTGAAGGGCAGCTTGTCCTCCACATTGCTGAATCATTTGAGTCATGACTCCACGTTTGTCCTAATGCACATTAAGCCATGTCAGACCACTCAGGCCTAACTATATTAGGAATCATCTTCCAGAGTGCATCAATGATCCATCTAGGACACACTGTTGAGACCTATATTTTAGGTATAGTGAAATTCTCTCTCTCGAGCATATCATTTAAGATAGGTTTGTAACTTTTTAGCAAATACTTATATGAATATTTTCTTTCAGTATGGCTTCTCCCTCTGACTCTAGAAAAAATAGGTGAGCCAAATACATTTGATATAAAAATACATTTAAAAAAAAATAATAATAAATAAATTATATATATATATATATATATATATATATATATATATATATATATATATATATATATATATATCTCCTTATATTTCAGCCCCAGCAAAACCCGTGACACTACATCCAGGAAGTGCAAGGAAAAATCCAATAGATGCATAAATTGCAATGTATCTGCTCCTGAAGGGAAGAACCTGTGTACCTCATGCCTGATGGAAGTAGCTGAAGAATCTTACAGGACGAGATCTCCTCAGGAAGATTTGAAAATATGGATCTATCAGGCTACAGCTGAAGGCTTTAGGAATAATTCTGAGAAAAGACAGACAATCTAGCAAACGAATTAGAACTGAGCATCAGGCATCAGAAGAAGATTCAGAGGTTCTTTCAGAAGAAGAGGACTCACAGCATTCCCCTAGATCCTTGGATGCCCGGTCCATTGACAAGCTCATTACACTCTTGAGAAACACCTTAAGACTTCAGGAAGAAAGACCCGATTAGCAGGAAGCGGACAGATATTTTCAGGACTTGAAGTCAATCAGACCCACGTTTTCTAGTCCACGCTGCGATTAAAGATGTGATATGTCAGGAATGGAACAAATTTAGAGAACAAATCCACGCTGAAGTAGTAAGATCTCTAGGGTGTATCCATATTCCTCAGGCAACAGTAAGGCTTGGGTTTCCATCGCAGTTATAAGAATAGCTAAAAGAACAACTTTGCCTATTGAGTCTATGGCATACCTGAGAGAGCCGATGGAAAAGAGGTTAGATGCAGAGCTGATAAAAGCATACTGGTCTCTGGGCTCAGCTCTACACCATGCAGTAGCATTGACTACTTTATCCAGAGCTCTCAAGGTCTGGCTGGAATACCTGGAAGGGGATATGGAAATGGGAGTACACAGAGAAAACCTGGGCAAAAACCTGAAAGAATTTAAGATGGCTAATGAGTTTTGCTTGGAGGCGTCATTGGATATTACCAAAATGCAAAAAGTATGGCATGAACAGTAGCCTCAAGAAAGGCTCTATGGCTTCACTCATGGAGAGCCGACTACGCCTCAAAGGTCTCTCTCCCCAGTCTCCCATTCCAAGGAGATTTATTATTCATCAAAGTATTGGACGAGGCCATTCAGAAGGCAGTTGACGGCAAAAAAGCTTTTCTGCCTCAGGAGAAACGAAAACCAGCCTCTTCTTCCTGGAAAAATAAGAGATATACGGATCGGTCCTTTCAGGACAGTAGATCTTACAAATCCTGAAGAAAATATTCCAGAAATCCTAACTAGAGAAGTTACCAACAAACATCTTCTGACAAAAACTCAAGAGGGAAAGGACCTAGGACTACGAATAAAAACTTCGGAAGGTCGGCAGGTTCAGATACGGCTGATAGGAGGAAGACTTCAGAGGTTCTATCCTATCTGGACCCAAAACATCACAGACACATGGGTTCTTTCCATTATAAGGGAAGGCTACATGATGGAATTCGAGACACTTCAAAGAAAAAATATATTCATAAGATCAAGAGTATCAAAAGGCTGAAAAGAACAAGCCATGAAAGAATGCTTCCACAAACTTCTAAACCAAGCTGTAATAGAGTAAGTCCCAAAAGAAGATCGATACAAAAGGTATGTATTCTACAGTATTCCTAGCACCAAAGCCTGAGGGGAAGTGGAGACTGATCTTGGACCTAACAAATGTAAATTCCGTGCTGAAGAAAAGTACTTTCAGGATGGAATCCATTTGCACGATCATAAAAAACATAAAGTAAGGAGAATGGATGGCGTCAATCGACTTAAGCATGCTTACTATCAGATACCTGTTCACAAGAACCAGCTAAAGTTTCTAAGATTCTGGATGTTGGGAAAACACTTCCAGTACAAGGGCCTTCCTTTCGGTCTGAGTCTAGTCCCGAGAACATTCACAAAGACTCTCATTACTTTGATTACATTCCTAAGAAATCAAGTCATTCAAATTTTCCAATATCTAGGTGATATACTGATAGTGGGCCTTTCTCGTCAGACAGTTATTCTTCACACTCAAGCTGTCATGGAAATACTACAAGTCCACGGTTGGCTGATAAATACAGAGAAAAGCGCACTAACACCTACCCAAAGAATAAATATTTCTAGGAGCAATGAAAGATACCTCAAAAGCAAAGGTCCACTTGTCTCTAGAAAAGAGTCACCAAGATAAAAGACAAAGTTAAAAAGACTAAGGATTATTCACACATCAGCAAGGTATCTTATGAGCCTGATGGGCTCAATGACCTCCACAATAGGGTGAAGTGGGCTCAGTGGAGATTCAGACCAAACCAAAAATTCTTCTTCAATTCAACAAAAAAGGGCAGACTGGGAACAGAGAATATATATTTCTCCTCGAGTGACACAGCATTTGATCTGGTGGAAAGAAGACAAAAACTTATTTCAAGGATTCCCTCTGGAAGAACCACATTGGCAAACCATAACGACGGACGCAAGTTCTTATGGATGGGGTGCCAATTACAAATCCCTATGGAAACACAAACAGAGTCTTCTACACTCCAACCTGAAGGAATTATGTACTATTCAGAAGGCACTTTTAGGTTTCTTTCCATTGTACAATCATGGGTTCTTATAAAGACAGACAACCGGGCCATGGCATTGTATATAAACAACCAAGGAGGCACTCGCAGCAGGCTTCTTCTAGAAGAATTCTGATTATGAAACTGGCCCAATCTAATCTTCTGGGTCAATAAGCAGTGTATCTTCTGCATACAGAGAACTATACGGCAGACTTTCTAAGCAGTTTAGAGATCCTTCCAGGAGAATGGAGACTTCATCCGAAAGTATTCAGAGAAATTACTATTCGGTGGAGCATACCACAGATCAATCTTATGGCAAAGCAGAGAATTGTCAGACTCAGAAATTTTACTCTTGTGATCCACATCAGCTGTCGGCAGGGCAAGATGCCCTATCACAACGGTGGACCTTCAATCTGGTGTATGCATTCCCTCCTCTACTGATGATACTTTGCTTCCTGCGCAAAGTTTGGACAGAGAGAAGGAAAGTAATAGCGGTGATCCCGAATTGGCCAAGGAGGCCCTGATTCCCTTTACTGGTCAAGCTGAGTCTGATAGACCACTGGCCATTACCTCTGAGGTAAGATCTTATGATCCAAGGCCCTCTATCCCATCCCAATCCAGAGATACTGAACTTAGGGGCATGACTTTTAAAAAGGAGAGATTGAAGAAAATGGGTCTATCTGAAGCAGTTATTAATACACTTTTAAAGTCTTAAAAAAAAAAAAAAAAAAAATCAACCTCAGAATGTTTTCATAGGATTTCGGAGACATTCAAGAATTTGGCATATTCTAAAGCTATTGAACTTAACAACCCATCAAATTCTCCCCACAAAAAAAGTTTTGGAATTCCTACAAAAAAAGGACTTGACAAGGGTCATAGCCTTAGTACCTTAAAAAAAAATACAAAAAAATCTTCAACTTTATCTGTTCTATGCAACGTTTTCTGGGCTTTGGACTCATTAATTGCAAGTTTCTTTAAGGCTGCCTTAAGGATCAGACCTCCCAAAATGAATTACTCTCCTCCATGGGATCTTCTTCTAGTTTTGGATGCCTTGACTGAAAGTCTTTTTTCTCCTTCAGAAAGTCTGAACTCTACCCTGCTTACATATAAAACCTTGTTTCTGGTTGCTATAACCTCAGCCAGACATATTTCTGAAATTAAAGCCTTCTCAGATGACTCTTGTACTTCGGTATATCATGATAGAGTATGTCTACGTACTAAGCAAGAGTTCTTACCTAAAGTGGTCTCAGAATTTCATCTGTTCCAAGAGGTGGTCCTACCATCATTCTTCCCTAATCCAGGATCCGAAACAAGCCAGATTTCATAATCTAGATGTTCCGGGATGCCTGGTTTGCTATTTGGAAATTTCTAATTCCTACAGGAAGTCTGACCAGCTATTTGTCCTTCCTTCTGGTACAAGAATATGTGAGGCTGCATCTGCTTCTACCTTAAAAAGATGGATCACTATAATCAGAGTGCCTACCATCACAAGAACTTACCTCCTCCTGACAAAATTAAAACGCATTCAACAAGAGCTCTGGCTACTTCATGGGCTAACTGGGCAGAAGTACCATATGAGAATATTTGTAGGGCAGCAACCTGGTCTTACCCCAATTACCTTTATAAAACATAAACTGGATGTGGCATCTCCTTCCACCTCATTTGGCAGGGAAGTCTTGTCCTCGGTATCCTCTATGTGTTGAAATTAAATTTGTTCTATTTTGGCAGCTTTCGGTTTTTGAGTCTTTTTCCAACCCCTCTACTTATGGTACTGCTTGGGTATTATCCATGAGTGATGATGCCATAATTAGCCAGGTATAGGGAACATTTGCTTCATACTTACCGTATTTTTCTTTCCTGGCTATTTTTCATGGCAGCATCAGGTTCCCACCCTTTATATTTTGTGCTTCATAATTGGACTAGGGTATGAAGGGAGGAGGGACCTTTTTACACAAAAGTCTGATTAATTTGTTTTTAACTCCTGTCCTGTGTTGGCTGGGGGAGGAGCTATCCATGAGTGATGCTTCCATGAAAAATAGCCAGCAAAAGAAAATTATGGTAAGTATGAATTACATTTTCCCTATTCTAGCACGTATCTCTCTTATCTCTCTACTTAGCAGCCAGGAACATTATACTGAATATGGACATTGCATTACACACAGTAGAAAACTTCAGATAACAAAAGGTTTGCTGTCTGCAGAGTATTCACAAGTAAGTTATCTGTCAAACACTAAACAGTAAGAGACCAGAAGATGACAATGATTTACCTGAGCCCACGGCATCCCTCAAGAGATCAGCCTGATGGCCAGGAAATGATAAATCTACTCGGTCCTTGCCTTCAGTTTCTACACTTACACCTGGTAGATGGAAATCACAGCAATAAATCCCAAGAATATAACAGCATGACATCTATATTGAATATTTACTTAATAATATAATTCTTGAGTAATTTAAGAAAGTCATAATAATTTGCCTGTACCATTATAATGCTAAAGTAGTCATACAAAATGAATGAGAGCTCACCATATATTTTCTAGAGGGTGGCCCTTGGGCCTACGTTCCTGTCCTATGGCTAGCAAAGTACAAGGAAGAGAAATGGTCCAACACTCCTCGTATGTTACAAATTCCCTTTATAGTGCACTCACAAAGAAACATTTCAACCCAGTAACAGGGTCTTTATCAACCTATGTAATTTTAAAACCATGTGTGAGTGCACAATAAAGTGAATTTGTAACTTATGAGGAGTGCTGGACCATTTCTCTTGCTTGATGATAGTGCTAACAGCTTCTCCTACAGAGTCTATAGAGAAATACAATGTCTGCCCCTCTTTTTAAAAAAGGTTTAAATTGAACAATACCTCTCTTACTTGCAGCTGATAGCATTTTAGCATTTTGCTGACTTGAGAGTAATCAGATTCAATCAGAATTAGCCATTTAACTTTTTATAGCATGTGTTGATTACTCCCCTCTGTGTCTTTAAGGATTTGGGACACTGTTCTTTGATCACTGTATCACTTTTGTATTTTTCTCCTTTTTTTCATTTCTTTTTACAGATAAAGACTTTTAAAAATTAAAGTGATGTTTTTATTTTAGGTTATTAGTGGAGTTAAGCCCTTTGTTGGGACTTTATTTTAATGGTAGTATACATAAACTATGTATATGGTAGTATACATAATTTCATTTAAAATAAAAAAGGTTTTAATGTTTTTTGAAGAATTTTATTTTTTGTACTATCACTTTAGGATTCAGAATTTGTTGTATTCCTAAGATGGAGTCCTTTGACTCCCTTTTTCGATGTTATTTACAAACTTTGAAACAACGTATCATTTTTAAAATTGCACACATGTAACATTATTGTAATGATTACAGCCAATTGATTTGGGACTAAATAAGGGTTTTCCTATTTGAGTGTTACGTTCTAAGGTACAGTAATACACCTCCGTTGTTCGGTAGTAGCCTCTACCTTGCTGAGGATCCTTTAGTATTCTGACAGGCTTTGAGAACAGGACGATACTTTATTTTAGCTTCCCAGCTACTGTGGTCAGGAACCCAGTCTATTGTCATATCACAACTACTGAGGGTGACTTGCCATTCCTTGTCGACTTTCTAAACAAACATGTTCTATTTCTATGGTCCAGGCTGGAACCACGGCACCATTGTCAGGTCACCAGTGTCCCATGTGTCCTGGATTGATGCAGAGTACCTCTCCAGGTTATTTATTTATTAATTCCTCTTTAATTTCTTTTCACCGTTTAGTTAACACATGAGGTTTCTAGGAAATCATTTTGCTGCTACCTTCAAATGAGACATTACTTTGGCATTATATCAGCTTTGGTCTCAATTTAATAAGCTTTCCAAATGATTCCATATGGTAAGAGATATTTTCAATTGATTTATCAACAAAAATCTGGAATGGAGATTGCGAGTCAAGCCTTCTCCGTCTGATCTCACAAATGCTCTATTGGATGAATGGGCAAAACTTTCCACAGAAACACTCCAAAAAAGCTTGTGGAAAACTTTCCCGGAAGAGGGGAAGCGGTTCTAACTGCAAAAGGTGGATCAACTACATATCCATCTCTATGCATTTGGAAGGCAATGTTATAAAAGCCACTGTCCCAATAATTTTATCCATTTAGTGTATTTTATGATTAAAGAAAATCTAAGCGAGTCATGGAAATATGGACAGCTGCAATTGCAATGATCCACAAAAAAAATGCCGACCTACAAATATAATAAATAGGACAGTCAGTATAGGATACTGCTTCAACTTAATAATCAGGGCAATTAATATGAGATGCTGCTTCTGCTTAATAATCAAGGCAGTCAGCATAGGCGTGCGCACGGGGTGTGCCGGGTGTGCCTGGGCACACCCTAATCCCCGTGCGCACGCCTATGGTTTGAGTCCTGCAGGAACAGCGTTCCTGCACTTTTTTTGAGCAGGAACGCTGTTCCTGCAGGCACTCAGTGTCCCCTGTCTCACCTCTTGCCCCTGTCATGGGAGGGCAAGAGGTGATGATTCCCCCCCACCCTGCAGCTCAGCCGCGGCGAGGGAGCTCTCTGCTCTCTGCTTCCTCTCGCCGCGCGCTGATGCCGGGAGCCGGAATATGACGTCATATTCCGGCTCCCAGCTGCAGCAGACAGCCCGCGCGGCGAGAGGAAGCAGAGAGCAGAGAGCTCCCTCGCCGCGGCTGAGCTGGAGAAAGGCGCCTGCCCCCACTGGACCCCAGGAACAAGTCCACCAGCACTCCAGGTAGGAGGCTGGGTGGACATTTAAAAAAAAAAAATGTAAATATAATAATTTGTGTGTGTGTGTGTGTGTGTCAGTGTGTGTGTGAGTATGTGTCAGTGTGTGTGTGTGTCTGTGAGTGTGAGTGTGTGTCAGTGAGTGTGTGAGTATGTGTCAGTGTGTGTGTGTGTCTGTGAGTGTGTGTGTGTCTGTGTGTGTCAGTGAGTGTGTGAGTATGTGAGTATGTGTCTGTGAGTGTGTGTGTGTCAGTGTGTGTCTGTGAGTGTGTGTCTGTGATTGTGTGTAAATGTGTGAGTATGTGTCTGTGAGTGTGTGAGTATGTGTCAGTGTGTGTCTGTGAGTGTGTGAGTGTGTGTCTGTGAGTGTGTGAGTATGTGTCTGTGAGTGTGTGTGTCAGTGAGTGTGTGAGTATGTGTCAGTGAGTGTGTGTGTGTGTGTGTGTGTCTGTAAGTGTGTGAGTATGTGTGTGTCAGTGTGTGTGAGTGTGTCTGTGAGTGTGTGTGTCTGTGAATATATATATGTGTATATATATATATATATATATATATATATGTGTATATATATATATATATATATATATATACACACACACACGCGGCGTATGTTTGTGCTTTAGGGTGCACACCCTAATGCAATAGGCTGCGCACGCCTATGGCAGTCAGTATGTTATGCAGCTTCTACTTAATTCTTGACTAACCCGGGAATCTTCCAGTCTGCTATTTCTTTAAAAAGAAAGATATACCTAATTAAAAATTCCCAATAAATGTTATTCTGCTGACTCACTGATATCAAAACTAAAATCTCCACCCATAATATACAGTGTTTCGGTAGCAGAGAATAGCAATTAGAATGTGTATGTTTATTTCCTACACATTTCTTAGCCATTAAATCAACCATTAGCTATGCTAATCTTCTGCTGTTATCCATCAAAGAGTGTTGCAAATACTACCAGCCTCACTTACACAAATGTGAGCATATAAAATGGTGGTCTATAAAAGATCCCACAAAACTGCATCCAAGGATTCTTGTGCATGCACGGTGAGATGCCATAGTAATAAGCTGTACATCACATGTGAAAGTGCCTGTTTATTCAGTTGTAATGAATTACTTTTGAATAATATGGCAAGTTGTGACAGAAGCAGCTGTTTTGCCGCATTTTACACATATTGGCTAATGCAGGGGTTCCCAACTCCCTACCAGTCCAGGATTTAGGGATTACTCTGTCTAAAGTGTTTTTTTTTTTTTTCTTCTTCTAAAAAACACCTTAGACACAACTGGGTAATCTTTAAATCCTGGACTGATGGGGGGTACTGGAAGACTAGGTTGGGAACCACTGGGCTAATGCTAAATGTTTAGTGTTATGAAAGATTTTTTATAGAATTTTAATTTCGTTAAATTCTAATGGGGTCTATAATTTTTTTATGAGCGTGCCTTTACAGAGAACTCAAATGTAACACCTTTTAAACAGGTAGGCAAAGAGACTGCAAATATACATAACAGGTTTACCTATGAAAATGATTTTATAATAAACTATAGGATTCTTATCAATTCTAACCATTTTCTCATTTAAGTTCTGACTTGTATTCACTTACCAGTTCCAAGACACACTATGGTGATGTCAACAGACTGGACCACTTCTTTAATCTCATTGGGGTTGTACTTTTCGCATTGTGCATTAATACATCCCGCAGCAAAGAAAATCTTTACAGGTAGCATTGCAAGACCTTCCCTAAATATTAAAGAGATAGATTAATATTACATATGGTGGGACAAAGAAACTCACGACTAAGACTACAGGGTAATTTCCTAGAATTTAAACAGCCTCAGTTTGACAACTATTATTTTAATGGTAGTTACAACCATTATAAATGAAGAACCCACTAAGTCACATGCTATATTTTTTTATTCTATCCATTTTCTGTTTACAGTAATCGTTCTAAATTCTCAATAAATATGAGCTTTGTTTTAAATTGGGCTGCCCTTGAGTCTTTGCTTTCTGAAAGGGGAGAACTGTTTTTGAAACCAGTGATCTCTAAATAAGTCAGGCTGTGGTGGTGGTGGGGATGGGGGGTGCGACTTAGCATTAAAGACTGCTTGCCTTCATTCAGATGCTGTGGAATGGAATTCCAATTATTCTTAGCAAGATGAACCTCACTCACAAACCAAATGCAAAGCCCCCTCTAGTTATAATTTTCGTCACTATAATTACACAGATTTACAATATGGGATACACTGATGCACCCTGGGTTATTACAGCACTGGGTACAAAAGTGTGATCTCTGTTCTATTGTCAGTAAAGAGCAGTTGGCAGAACTTTGACACGTGACTCCATTAAACATACTCGTTACAGTGTAATTTTTTTTTTTAATACGCAAGTATAACATAGAAGGAAGTCGTTGAAAAGATTTACATTGGTTACTCCCTAAAGTGAGAATTTAAAGTGAATTTCAAATGTATAGTCAAATTAGCTGAAAAGGAAAATTATCTAAGTCGGCTAAGCTTCCAGTTTGGCTACTTTGGCCTCAAATTAGAAATTCAATTTGCATTCTCCCTTTAGGGAATATCCTGTTAGGATTTAGAACTTCATAGGGATGCATGGAAGGGCAAACAGAATTACTTTTTGGTATTTATTGCAGAGTGCACGGTATGTAGATATATTCCAACACAATATCTCTTATCTCTTACGTGGCTGATTTCCTTACTTAGGGGTAGTGATATATTGAGGGTCTGGATGGGGTTCATAGTCCCCAAAAAGTTCTTGCGGGTTATCAGCAAAAGGTCCAATTACCTAAGGCGACAGAAAGATATAAAAAAAAAATAATTAAAGTGACTCTTATCCCCGGTCATCTGTATTTTATTAAACCTATTAGCCAAAGCAAACAAACAAACCAAAATGAGTTTTAGTTTTTTTTCACTTTGATCCTTTATTAATTTTCAAATAGATAGACATTACCAAGACATTATAAACAAAGAACACAAACCATATACCCATTCGCTCATACAACAAAGAAAAAAAAAGAAAGAAAAATAACTAAATAAATAAATTACTGAGCAAAAAATCTAACAGTACTACTATATTTGGATTTAGAAATACCTCAAAAGATGCTCTTTGGGACCGGATATAAGGGAAAGTAGAAAGTATCTAAATGTATGCAGTGTCCCAATGACGATAGCAATAAGTATGTGTGTCAAATTATTGTATCGGATTATCACATTATTAAGACTGCCCATAATTAGGGATATCATTTAATCTATTAATCCAAAGATCCCAGATTGGTCTGTTTTTCTTTTACAGGTAGACCAGAGGTGGAAGTTGTTGGATAATTCATCTACTGAATATTCACTTTGATTGGGCCAATTATGTAAATTAATATTGGGCATTATTAGATCTAAAATCCTAATATTAGAGCACTCATAGATTTTGTTTGCAATTCTTATCTCTTTCTTTAAATTTTGCCACTTCTTCAGAGTTTGAAAGAGAATCAAAGAATTATCTGAAGAGATTTTCCCTGTATCGCATAGCAAGAAAGCCAGGTTTTTCTATGCCTATTCTGTTTGCTTCCAGCTTATACCAAGATTGTTCCTTTGAGTCTTTAACTTGTAATTTATAAATATGGACAATCATGTTCACCTGATAAGTATCTCTAATTAGCGGATAGCCTACTATCCCCACTTGATGGTCCTTTTTGGACAGAATCGGAGTATTGATTGCCTCTCTAGATGTAATTTGTGAAGCTAGATTGGATCATGTCTAACCACTGCTTGGTTATTGACAACGGTAGCATTCGAAATAGATATGTGCACTTGGGAAGAATGTATGCTTTGATGGTGTTTATTCTCCCCCACCAAGATATTTTATAGTATCTTTACTCTCTTCATAATGCATTAGTATATTTAATAAGTATTAAGAAATTTTCCTCCATTATTACTCTGGGGCCAGATGCCCATGTAACGAATTTTCTTTGAAGTCCATATAAAATCATATTCCTTTTTAAACCCTTTGAGAATATTAATTTCCATGATTTGAGTGAGAACAGTAGTTTTATTCATATTCAGTTTATAGTTCGATATTTTGCTATATCTCTTATAATGTGGGTAAAAGTGTTTCATGCACTAAAATGCTTTGATAAAGCCCCTTGCAGTGGGCAAAACCCATTGGTTTTTTTTTATTATTATTGTGTGTGTTTTTATAAAGCATTTACCTATCCTGGAGCTCTGCTGATTTCCTGGTGAAAAGTTTAATCTATATCCTATGGTAGGGATTTATATCACATGTGCCATGTGGATTGAGCAATCCTATATTGCTGAATTTTACGTAAAATTCCTATTGCCGAGTATACCCAAATGACAAGGATCCTAGAGTGGGCTTGTATCACTCCACACCATTACAAGAGAGTTAATTTAGGCTAACTAATATATGGGTGTATACACTGATCAGCCACAACATTAAAACCACCTGCCTAATTTCACCCTCTATCAATAGGTCCCCCTCATTCTACCAAAACACCTTTGATGCGTCGAAGCATGGACCGCACAAGACCTCTGAATGTGTCCTATGGTATCTAGCACCAAGACTTTAGCAGCAGATCCTTTAAGTACTACATGTTGTGAGGTGGGGTTTCCATGGATCGGATTTGTTCCTCCATTGTGAGATGCCAATTGTATTGAAATGTGGGATGCCAAGGCTCTTTGTCATGTTCCTCAAATCATCCCTGAACAAATTTTGCAGTGTAGCTGGGTGTATTATCCTGCTGAAAGAGGCCACTGCCATCAGGAAACACGATTGCCATGAACAGGTGTACCTGGTGTGCAACAACCTCTTGGGATAGTACGTGTCAAAGTAACATGCACATGAATGCCAGGACCCAAGATTTCCCAGCATATTGCCCAGAGCATAACACTGCCTCAGCCAGCCTGCCTTCTTAGCATAGTGCATCCTGCTGCCATCTCTTCACCAGGCAAACAACACACATACACCCGACCAGCCACCTGATCTAAAAGAAAATGTGATTCATTAATCCAAGCAACTTTCTTCTATTGATCCACATTGACCACTATGACCGGTCTGATGTTACTCAGCCCCAAAAGCAACAAAATATAATGTACTATGTGTTCTGACCCTTCTTTTTTCCATCAGTAGCTCGCTTTGATCGAAACAGACGGGCTAGCCTTTTCTCCTCAATGAGCCTTGGCGCTATTAACCTAGATGCTGGTTCTCCTTCTATGTTCCACTTTTGGTATGTACTAACCACTGCACACCGGGAACACCCACAAGACTTGCAGTTTTGGAAATGCTCTGACCCAGCAGTCTAACCATCACAATTGGGCCCTTATCAAAGTTACTCAGATCTTTTCTCTTGACAACTTTTCCTGCTTCTAATTTGGGGGACTGGGCAAATAAAATAGTCAACATTTGTAACATAAAATCTAGAATGGGTATGGCCTACCTATAGATTATTTTTTGTAAAGCACATAGGAATTAAAAATTGCAATCTGGCTTAGGTAAATTGCAACTTTCTTGCACCAGGTCCTACTTTTTTGGTTCACTAGATAAGGCTTTAGACATTGGTCAGTTAAGTATACTCCCTCCATATACTTGCTATAGTCTGCAATGCACTTCCATTTCTTTCCAGCTGCTCAGCTCTTCCAGAGTGTCACTATCACAGTGTGTCACCTCCGCCATATAGCAGCGTGCCATTCTATGGGGATTAATTCACATAATAACCAAAGGGGTAATTTAAATTAATTGCTTACCTGCCTAACACACACTTCCCACACTTCAATTCCCACTACCACCCACTAAAACCCAAAGACCCCAAATTAAAATTAAATTACTGATCACAGTTCAAACTACATTAAACCCAGCCATTTATAAAGTGGCTACACCAAACATTTCAAAATACAACATTTCGATAACTTGTTAAAATGGTGTGCCATCATGGTGGCAATTTACTTTCTTAGTATGCCATGTTTTCTCAAAGGCGACATGGGCTAAGAAAATCACTTTCAATTTTACAAGTTAAAAAGGGCATCTAATATATTTGGCCCTGTGACAAATCTGAAATAATGCTACATGGAGGTACTTTTATATTCGTTAGATAAATAGTAATAAAAATACTGAGGCTTTATTCCATTAACTCAGAATAGGATTATGAAATTCCCTCTGAAAATGGAATTCATTGGTGTGAAAAAACACAATTGAAAATATGACCACTAATTGGGGCCAGCATTTGGGATAAAGTAGTTATACCAAACAAATCAAATTATGCCATTTGAGTATCCTACTTTTAAAAATGGCAAACCATAACGGTGGAAATGTTATTCCCAGGCTGTCATACTCTGCCAAAGGTGACATTTGCCCACAAAATTGCTTTGTCAAATTTCCAGGTATAAAACATGAAATTGGCAAGCCCTAAATTTGGTCCTGTAACTTTCTAAAACCCCATAACATGTGCACATGGGGGTACTGTTGTACTCGTGAGACATCATTGAATGCAAATGTGAGTGTTTTAAAGCAGAAAAAAAAGTATGAGGAAGATATCTTCAGTGAAAGTGCAGTTTTTGTATAAAAAAAATATATATATATATGAACACTAAATTTGGCCAGAATTTGTAACTAAATGGCTACTTTAAAAGGCTGGACAAACCCCACTTTTAATATCCTGGGTTGTCTACTTTTGCAAATGATATGCCAGGATGGCGGTAATTTTCATTCCTCGGCTGCCATATGGTCTCATAGGTAGTCCTATGGCAACATAGGCCCAGCAAACCAATCTAAAACACAGAAATGGGTATTCTAAGATTCTGTAGCTTTTAAAAACACCATGAAAACCGGTACATGTGCGTATTGTTGTACTTGTGGAACATCACAGCATACACATGTGTATTTTATTGCAGTAAAATCTAACAGTATCATGACATCACAGTTAAAATGCCATGCAGAACTTGTAAAATACCATTTCTTATTTTTTATGTATAAATATTTGATGTGAAATGAAAGCTCTGTTTCGCCTTAAAAAATTATATATACCATGTGTGAGTACACTTAATATGAAATAGGTAAATTATGGTTGAACAGACATATAGGTTTTGTTTTGATCAGAACTTGTACAATTGCCTCTGTCCTTAAGGGGTTAAAATGCGTGTTACTTTTTGTTTTTAAGAAATGGAATACAATCAAAGTTGTACAGAGTTTGCCAGTAGGATCTTTCTAGCACAACCTCCAATCCAGCCAGATAAACTATGACAATTTTTGACAATTTACCACTTGTATAATGTTATAGATTTGGTGAGTTAAGGGAGTTTAAGGTCTTTAGCAGGCAGGGAAATTCGGCTATGGGTTGTTTATGTTTCAGTGGCATAAAACCACGGCTATTGATGGCTGAGACTGACAAGATTAGGTGGTGCATCCCTACAAAAGTATATGTTGCCAAATGTTAAAGGGACACTATAGTCACCTGAACAACTTTAGCTTAATGAAGCAGTTTTGGTGTATAGAACATGCCCCTGCAGCCTCACTGCTCAATCCTCTGCCATTTAGGAGTTAAATCCCTTTGTTTATGAACCCTAGTCACACCTCCCTGCATGTGACTTGCACAGCCTCTTCCTGTAAAGAGAGCCCTATTTAGGCTTTCTTTATTGCAAGTTCTGTTTAATTAAGATTTTCTTATCCCCTGCTATGTTAATAGCTGGCTAGACCCTGCAAGAGCCTCCTGTATGTGATTAAAGTTCAATTTAGAGATTGCGATTAAATTATTTAAGGTAAATTACATCTGTTTGAAAGTGAAACCAGTTTTTTTTTCATGCAGGCTCTGTCAATCATAGCCAGGGGAGGTGTGGCTAGGGCTGCATAAACAGAAACAAAGTGATTTAACTCCTAAATGACAGTGAATTGAGCAGTGAAATTGCAGGGGAATGATCTATACACTAAAACTGCTTTATTTAGCTAAAGTAATTTAGGTGACTATAGTGTTCCTTTAAGTAGACAATCCCCAAGTGCTGTTTACCTTGTGCACAAAGTACATTGATGTACACTGATGTACGTGTCGTTACAGCAAATTCAGTAGTATACATTGCACTATAATGACCCAGTATTGTAATCGGTGCTCTTTTTAAATCAGCAGCATACAACTTCATGATAATATGTGCCACTAGAATGTAGACAAATCCTAAACTATAATCATACACATTTAATATATTCTAAAATATTTATTGTAACTTAAACCTATGTTCATGTTAAAATAGATTTACACATTTAATTTTGCTCTATTCATGTTGACCGTACTCAAAGGAAATAAAAAGAACAGCACATGAAATTCTGCTTATTTTCTGCTCCAGATATAAAAAATACATTAGGTATTAAAACAGACAATATTAAAAAGTGCTCCTTTCAGACACTGTTGAAAAGAATCTGCATGCAACACTGCGTCAGAGTTAAATTTTACGTAGATAGGATGATAAAGCTAGTACAATAAAAGGCATTTGTATTAAACCAGGTTTGTACACGACACAATGTTTCCTACCCCAATCCTTTTCCCTCGAATGCTCTCTAGATCCAGGGGCAAAGTGTCCCTGATGTTCTTCAGAAGTACAAAGCTCTTGATGGCTGCTTCCACTGCAAGGTCCCGGTGCTCTTGTGTCTGAACAGAACCAAGATCAAGGAAGCTATACGGATTCATGTCTGGTGGATCAAATTCTCCAAGTCTCATACGGGTGTAAAACAGTGGATATAACCTCTCTTTCACAGTCTAAGAACAAAAAGCAACAATTTAATTAAGCGAGTGACACTTCTGAAAGCACAAAGTATTACAAAGTAGGAGCTTTAAATATCTTGAACATGAAGGTTCTATTATAGTTAGACAATATCAGTTCTGATTTTACATTTACTTTTATGCAGTAAAGATGATGTCATCTGCTAGCTTGGTATCTTTAACAGATTTCAGTGTTTTGGTTTTTTTTGCACCGTGAGGTATCATAAGAATTGGGAGGCTGGCTGTCTTTTATGAAGACAAAAAAATAATTATATAGAAAATAAAGCTTTAAAAAAAGTAATATCTGGATACATTTTAAAATTCACTTTCTTACCCATCCAATTGGTATTTCTGTATATTCCTCCTCCTTGGGTCCTCTACCGGAGCCCTGGGAGTATGAGGTTTCTGAACAACAGAACTGCACTCTTCAGGAAAGCAATCTCAGATATCCCACCTGGAACCTGCTAACCCACTCCCCCAACTTGGGGGTCCTTGCATAGGGCCAAGCATTGTAGTATCCATGTGTGTGGCATTGTGTCACAGGCTTTCTTGTAGTCAGTGGAGGCTGTGCACATATTGGTCTGTCTGATCTGTCATATATCTTGTTAATACATTGTTAAACATAGATCTGCACACCAAAATCAAGCCATAACATTTTCTTTTTCCACAGAAATCTCAAATTTGCATTTCTGTTTCTACAGCAAATGGTTCTGGGTGGGTATTTGCAAATTAGTTCAATAAAGAATTGCATTTTTTGCCTCATTATTCCAATTTAAGCATGAATTCAGTGGAGGTCATGTATGCTGCATATAGCAGCTTTTAAACACAACTCAGGAAGAGATGCAAAGCCAGTGAACAACTCATGGACAGCTGTTTTGTTGTTAAAAGAGCACTATAGGGTCAGAAACACAAATATGTATTTCTGACCATCTAGCCCCTTGCTCCCTTTGGCCTCCCTAAATATAGTAAAATCTCACTTGTATTCAAGTCTGAAGCTGCTGGCTCTGTCTGCCGACATCATCAGACGTGGTGGACTGAACCAATCACAATGCTTCCCCATAGGATTGGCTGAGACTGTCAAAGAGGCAAATCAGGGGCAGAGTCAGCAAAAGTCAAACACAGCCCTGGCCAAATAGCATCTCCTCATACAGGTGAATTGAATTAATGCATCTCTATGAGGAAAGTTCAGTCTCCATGCAGAGGATGGAGACACTAATTGTTGTTATGCATGCTAGGCAGGACTGCTTAAGGAAGCAGTTTAGCAGCCATCTAAGGAGTGGCCAGTGGAGTTATCACTAGGCTGTAATGTAAACACTGCATTTTCTCTGAAAAGACAGTGTTTACAGCAAAAATCCTGCAGGGAATGATTCTACTCACCAGAACAAATGCAATAAGCTGTAGTTGTTCTGGTGACTATTATTTCCCTTTAAGGCAACTCAGGTTGGTTACTGGCTTGCTACTGAGGCTTGGCATTACTTGTGGCGCACAAACCAAGAAAGTTATGGTTTGTGCTCTGCAAGTAATACCAAGCCTCAAAAGCAAGCCAGTAACCAACCACATGCTGGCTGGAGAGAGGAGAGCGAGATTTAAAAAAAAAAACAAGAAAAAACCCTCTAAATCCAGGCTAGGAAGTTTTCTATTGATGGGACAAATAGCTTAGATATACTGCCAGGGCCCCTCACTTTTTATCAAGACCTAACACGATCCACACAACACTGGGGACAGTCTTTTAATTTTGCAACATGCCAACTGCACTCAATTGGATGGCATCAAGGTCCCTGGCAGTGACAAAGAATGGGACAGTTCATAAAAATGTATTAGCCACAGAAGCACCTCCTTTTTTAGGGCTTTGGGACTTTCAGCACCCACTTGGTTTTCAGCAAGACAACCTGAAACACGTCTGGGACTCTATCAACCTAGTCCACTTTCTTCCTAGAGGAGGAGGCATAATCTGAGACCTGACTATTTCTGTTACTATTCGACCAGAGTGACCAGAGTGTGACCAATAAAGTGGTTGTTATACCCCTGGAACGATGTGTCGTCCAGCTACGGGGGGGGGAGGGGGGGGGAGAAATGGGTCTCTTTATCCATTAATAGCGGAGGTAACCAGTCGGGCTACCCAGGGTCCGCTACACTTTTCTCACTGTTCTCACCTCTAATGTGATGTTACCATGCATGACTGCATCCTTAATTTTCATGAAGACATTATCTGCCAGGCTGAAGGTGAGTTCCAGATTACAGCCAGCATTAACGGCAGCTAAAACAAGAAAAAATAACATTCTAGTTTTGTTTTAAATTTGTATGTAAGTGTAAATCTATGTTACTATATGAAAATAATGTAAAACATTTTTTCAAAACGTGTAATAATGTAGTATAAATGCAAACATTAGGTGAATGGGAATCATGCTTAGTTTTGTGGAGAGAATGTTACTCTTCCACCTGAAAAAAACAAAAACCTATGGCTGATAACTTGGCCCAAATCATGGCATTTCTTCACTGGTAACTAAAATCTAAAAGCTACTTTAACAGATTATTTATTTTAGAGGTTCCATAACAGTGAACACTGTATTATCGGATCTTGGGGTTATTCACATGTTTTGGACTATGGACCCAGAGATTGTGTAATTTATACTAACATAATCACACTACCTGACAAACCAATAAGCAGAAATATAGATGGGCATTCTCACACAAAGACACACTGACTGAAAGACCACCCATTAATACCACCTCTAAGATCAGCATTTTGAAAGAATATTGGTAAGGGTCTTCCCTTCTCCTGCTTTTCAATGCACTTCCTTATTGATTAAGGGTCTTTTTAACAGGTACCAATCCTCTTCCTTGTTACATAAACTATAAAAAAACAAAACAAAGTAGGACACCTGCCATACAAACTAGATCTGACCAAGATTTAACCTGTTTACATGTGGACATATACTATATTAACCCTGCCAGCGTTATGCAAGTCCATCATATTACAATAATGTATCATGCCATTGGTAAAGAACACATCAAACTGTATCTGTATTTTTTCCCATTGTTGTTTTTACTATATCACAGCTTTGCAGTTGTAAATCATATAAAAATATGGAATGTGGTCATTTGCTTTATTACTTTACAGCCACTGACACTATTTTAATGCTCCTACTCTAATATCACTTACAAGACCTTATAGGAACTGTTTGTGCCTTGCAGAGAAGGGTAGATTGAGAGAGAGAAACGGAGAGTGAGACAGAGAGAGAGAGAGAGAGAGAGAGAGAGAGAGAGAGACAGAGACAGAGACAGAGACAGAGAGAGAGAGAGACAGAGAGAGAGAGAGAGAGAGAGAGAGAGAGAGAGTTAGGTAGTCCCTCTCACTCTGTAAGCCTTAGTTCAATTGTGCAGTAAGACCCGAATACAAAAGTTAGAGGTAAAAAAATCAAATCAACATAGCATTTATAAACAGCTTTCCACGATCAGTTCCCAGTACAGTGATCTTGTATAGACAAAATATAAAAAACAAAAGATAGATATTCAACTGTATACCGCTATCTTTCGTTTTATCTACTCTGTATGACTGTCACTTTTAAATGTCTCCACAAAGTTATATGTCCAACTACAGTTCTCTGACATCCATTTGATTTTGAAGTCAGTTTGGCTTAGAGGTAGAAGTGGGTAATACCGTTAAAGTTTTTTTCTTTTAGTGGTTAATAGTATCGACTCTATATAACACAAGGTTAACAAATAGCAACATTGCAAGAAATTGTATTGAAACGTGAAATGTTTTGAAATCAGTGTAATAGGCATGAGATTCCTCAGTACAATACACACGTGTATGCAAAAGTTTCACCTGCCTGACCTAATAACATATTTTGTTGATTTTCTAAGTGAAACAACATTACCTCAACATCTGTGGTGGACATATGTTAACTCTGCCTAATTCTTCAAATTGGCACTGCCAATTGTTAGGCATGGGGATGGATCTATGATGCTTTAAAGTAATGTTTTGTAGGTGTTCATGGAAGGTAAAAGGAAGAATGCATTCTACTAAATATCAACAACTCGTGAAAGTTGTCCCACATGTCCCACAGGCAGAGAAGAATCTAAAGTTAAAAAGCAGTTACATATTCCAACATTTCAAACATATAATTTTGAAATTGTTTTATATAGCTAATTTACTTTATTGTTTTTATATTTTATTTTTTATCAATAAAAAGTATTTTTTTGTTGGACCTGCTTGCTGCTGAAATCATTAACACCTACGTCCTTGGTGGGGATAATCCACCTATATCGTTATTTGCTGTACTAAATGTGAGTAGATTTTAAAATTATTTTAATTTGCACTCCATACGGTGTACACTATTTTGGTTTCCTTTCACTCCTACTTATATCATAGGAGAGAATACACCAACCACCGATATCCAAGAGTGGGGATTATACCACTTCACGCTTAATCTGCGGAGCCGCTTTCCAGGCTCTGGGACATGTGAGTGCATAACTGTTAACAGTTTTATTCACACGTTTTTATTTGATATACTGCACTATATATTTTCATTTTTTCCACACATCTACGGGAGTCACCACCACTACAAGAATCTACTGTAAGAGTCTACACTCCACCATATCCATGGGTGGGGATCATTCCACCCAGGCACTCAAGTTGGAGCTACATCTTAGCTCCTAAAAAGTGTGTGTGCTTACTTTCTATTATTTATTGGAACTGTTAGGTACTTTACCATCAATGTTCCTTTTTCCCCCCTGGTTTTTATTATATATACTTCAAGGACACCCTGGGCACCTTCCTCTGTATTTTTATATAATCCATGAGAGACAACTAAACGTGTTTTTGAACCTGAGGTAACTAATCTGCAGATCCAGACAATTTTCCATCAAATGGTGGAAATGTGTTATTTTTTGTTTGTTTGTTTTCTGCATGGTGTGTTCTCTTAATGAACAATTAGAAAATAGAGAAGCTGTAGCTGAACACTTATGGCATGCTTTTACTTCACAGACAAAACTCTGACTCACCGACTGCAGTTTCCAACATGTTCTTTGTATAGTTGTGCATCAGCATAATAAATTCAATGGCACCCTCATCGCTTACCACATAACCTTCAAATCCCCACTCATTACGTAGGATATCTGTCAGCAGCATCTTGTTGGCACAAGCTGGGACTCCATTCACTCTGAGAAAGAGGCAGCATATATTAAATGAAATAATAGCTATATAATATACTTAGAAACATAGTGGTCTTATAGACTGAAGAATACATATACTGATCAGCCACAATATTAAAACCATTTAATATCATTTTATGCTGCCTCTGATGTAGCGAGGCATGGACTCGACAAGACCTCCAAACATGTCCTGTGGTATCTGGCACCAAAATCCTTTAAGTGCTGCAAGTTGCAAGGTGGGACTTCTATGGATCAGATTTGTTGTTCCAGCACATCCCGCAGATGCTCAGTCAGATGGAAATCTAGGGAATTTGAAGGCGAATGCAACACTTTTTTGTCTTGTTCGTCAAACTGTTTGTGAAAATTTTTGCAGTGTGGCAGTGTCACGAACGTGGGCTATTGGCCCAGATGAGACAGTGGGGAGAGTATGGAAGTGAAAGTGTTAATGACACCAGATCCCTGGTTACCTGTTGCTAGTCCCTGCATTAAATTAAAGGACCACTCTAGGCACCCAGACCACTTCAGCTTAATGAAGTGGTCTGGGTGCCAGGTCCTTCTAGGGTTAACCCATTTTTAAATAAACATAGCAGTTTCATAGAAACTGCTATGTTTATGAATGGGTTAAGCCTTCCCCCTAATCCTCTAGTGGCTGTCTCATTGACAGCCACTAGAGGCGCTTGCGTGCTTCTCACTGTGATTTTCACAGTGAGAGCACGCCAGCGTCCATAGGAAAGCATTGTAAATGCTTTCCTATGCAACCGGCTGTATACGGGCGCAGCTCTTGCCGCGCGTGCGCATTCAGCCGGTGGGGAGGAACGGAGGAGGATCGGAGGAGGAGAGCTCTCTGCCCAGCGCTGGAAAAAGGTAAGTTTTAACCCCTTTCCCAGAACCGGGCGGGAGGGGGACCCTGAGGGTGGGGGCACCCTCAGGGCACTATAGTGCCAGGAAAACGAGTATGTTTTCCTGGCACTATAGTGGTCCTTTAACCCCTGCATTACCAAAGTAATATAAGCGTTCAAAGTGCTGCCATCCAGGAGTAACAGGGCCGAATTAACATAGGGGCTGATGGAGCTGCAGCTCTGGGCCCAGGCCCATTTAAAAAAAACAAAAAAACAAAAAACACACTACTCTTAGGTTTGCCACTAGACTGGTATTTTAAGGCATAGCCGGTATTTGAGGCTGCCTGGCTGTGATGGTATTGCAGTAATACCGGCAATACAAATGCAAATATTTTTCTCAGTATAAACAGAGATTACTCTGCAATACCAGCATCGGCCACTAGGGGTCACTGTGTATGGAGAGAAGTAGGGATAGTAAGTTACAGCATCTCCCTGCCTCTCTCTTCTCACTGATCTGCGGGGGAGCAGCTACACAGCACAGAGTCCAGACAGCAGCTCCCAGCCTGCAGAGAGAGACTACAACTCAGATATGTGAAGGATGGGGGAAAGGCAGCAGGGAGACATGGGGACACTGAGACACTAGGGGACACTGAGAGACTAGGGGACACTGAGAGACTAGGGGACACATGGGGACACAGAGACTAGGCGACACTGGGAGATGTGGGGACACTGTGAGACATTGGGACTCAGACACATGGGGATGCTGTGAGACATAGGGAGACACATTGGGACACAGAGACACTAGAGACACAGTGTCTGCATGTCTCCCAGTGTCCCCATGTCTACCAGCCAGTGTCCCTAGTGTTTCAGTGTACCCATGGCTCCCAGTGTCCCCTAGTCTCCCAGTGTCCCCTAGTCTCTCAGTGTTACCAAATGTCTGTGTCCCCATGTCTCCCAGCCAGTGTCTCAGTGTCCCTAGTGTCTGTGACCCCATTTCTCCCAGTGTCATCAAATGTCTGTGTCCCCATGTCTCCCAGCCAGTGTCTCAGTGTCCCCATGTCTCCCAGTGTGCCCATGTCTATGTCCACAAGTGCCCCCATGTCTCCCTAGTGACTGTGTCCCCATGCCTCCCAGCCAGTGTCCCTAGTGTCTGTGTCCCCATGTCTCCCAGTGTCCCCTAGTCTCCCAATGTCTGTGTCCCCATGTATCTGTGTCCCTAGTGTCTGTGACCCCATTTCTCCCAGTGTCATCAAATGTCTGTGCCCCATGTCTCCCAGTGTCTGTGACCCCATTTCTCCCAGTGTCCCAATGTCTCTATGTCTGTATCCACAAGTGCCCCCCATGTCTCCAAGTGCCACTGTGCCCCCATGTCTCCTAGTGTCCCCAAGTGTCTCAGTGTCACCAAGTGTCTCCGGATCTCTCAGTGTCCCCGGGTCTCACTGTGTCCCCATGTCTCTCACTGTACCCTAGTATCCTAGTGACACGGGACATACTGAGACATGGGGACACTGGGAGAAATGGGGACACAGACACTGGGAGACTAGGGGACTGGGCGACATGGGGACACTGACACTGTGATACATAGGTACACTGATGCCAGGCTTGCCTTCCAATTCTTTGGACAGACATGCCCCCTTTTTGGGCATGTTTGTCCCTTTTGGCAGTTCTGGTCACGTGACTCGCATCAGTGACCCACCCTTTTACTCCGCCCATTGACTTCCTGCTTCACTTGACACTAATGTTAGGGGGTATGGATTTACTTGAAAGATGAAAGTATAAATTAGATAAAGAGATTAGCATAGGGTATGTGTTTTCTTATAGTTGCATCCTTTGAGTTTCCCTCCAACACCAACTCCATCAGATACACGACGCTTGAGAGGTACGACTGTTTTAGTGTTTTTGGTCGATAAGATTCTGTAAGTAGGCCCCATCATAATTGTCAGCACCAGGCCCACTGGGCTCTTAATCTGGCCCTGAGGAGTAATGGGAGTTTGAGTGCAGTGCATAATTTTGTATGTCACCCACCCAATGTATTCCCAATTAAGGGTTTAGAAAAATATCCTTTTCTTTTACCTGAAGACAGCAAGGTGAATTGTTAGTGTAGGGCTCGTCTAAGAGGTTTAACCCTGACCTGGTAGGTGAGCTTACTCTTAAATGGCCTTTGAGTGATACTAAAAAATATTTATTTAAATATGCATAAGGATTTTGGATAGTGTGCAAGTAACTTTTTTTATTTGCTTTTTATTTTATATATTGGGGCTGATGTGTAATATAGTCATTGATGTGGCCCGGGAGTAGTGGGAGTTTTAGTTCAGGGCTTAATTGTGTAAGTTGAATATGCTAGGATTAGTTTATCTATTGATTTTATCTGTGTTTTTTTTTCAGGTTGGGACAGGTAAGTTATTTGTTAGTATTGGGTGCCCTCAAAATGCACAATAGTGCATTTTGGGTTTTGGGGATTTATTATTTAGAGCTCAAATACCACACTTACTGTATACTTACCTTGCTATCTCTATCCACCTTCCTATAGGCTGTCTATGAATAAACAGATTTGTTATTTTTCCTGCTGTCCTCCAGACTACATACTTGATAATACAAAAATATATGATTCTTTAGGTGACGATCTTTATTTGTGAGTTTTATTTATTATTAATTAACCTCAGAATGTGGATCATTTGATGTGGAAAATAAATGTAAGTTTTAATTTTGTATGTCACCCACCCAATGTATTCCCAATTAAAGGACCACTCTAGGCACCAAGACAACTTCATTTCAATGAAGTTGTCTTGGTGCCAGGTACCTCTAGTTTTTTTTTTTTTTTTAAATACACTGCCGTTTCAGAGAAAAAGCAGTGTATTTTTTTTTCCCTTTTCCCACCTACAGTGGCTGTCTCTGAGACAGCCACTAGATGGTGCTTCCTGAATCCTCACTGTTAGAATCACAGTGAGCTGACGTCAGACGTCCTCTTGGACGTCTAACGTCATTCCCTCTAATGCAGGCAGCTCAGATGTGAGCGCGCCTGCATTAGAGACTATGCTGAGATGTGAACGCGCCGAGCGCGTTCACATCTCAGTTTTATTCCTCGGAGGCCAGTGTGTGAGAGAGAATCTCTCACTGAAGACGGAGTACAGAAGAAGAAGCAGCATCTCCCCTAACGAAATCTGGCTGCACATTGACTGTAAGTAAACTTTTATCCTATTTGTATTTTATTATTAATGTAATGTCTTTGTATTGTTTTTATTTTTTAATTTTAGTTAGTCATTTGTTTAATCTTAACTTTATCTGTTTGTATTATTTTAAAAAATCTAGATTTGTTTACATATGACATGTAATCTATTTTACTATTTTAACTTTTATTTTTGTTTACAGTTTGCTATTTAATTTTATATATATTTGTTTTTATGTGTGTATATATGTATTTGTTTATATATGTATTTTTTAATATATGTATTTTTTTATATATGTCTTTTTTAATATATGTATTTTTTTATAATTTTTTTATATATGTATTTTTTAATATATGTATTTTTAAAAATATTTTAGGAGATATTTTCAATGTAGTTATTGATTTTATTAGTATATGTAGTTGTATGTCTGCATACATTGTTTTCGTTTATTATTTTACATATGTCGCACCAAAAACAATACATTGCAGACATACATACAGTCGTGTGTATGTGCATATATATATATATTTATATGTGTGTATGTATGTATGTATGTATGTGTATATATATATATATATATATATATATATATACTAATATATATATATATATATACACTTAGAATTGTGTGTGTGTATATATATATATATTTTTTTTATATATAGAAATTACAACAAATTAATTTTTAAAATAATATTGTTCTTCTTTTCAATTTCAGAACGCAGATTTACGAATCGTTCAAAGCGCAATTGAATTTGTGAAAAATTCAAAGTGGTTACGGTAAGTTTTAATTTGTCTATATTTTTGGGTAAAGTTTGCCTGGCTCTCTTTGTCTTATTGTATGCTTATACATATCGGATAAAGAGATATCTATGCAAAAGGTTCTGGTGCTGAAATACATTTCTCTATATTGCCACAGTTTCACTGTTGCTCAGCACATGAAAAGTGCTGCCCAGGATTTTTACTTTTCCTTTCTTGGGGCTGCATTTTTCGCCTGCGGCACACAGTCAGACTCACTTTTTTTCTTGCTATCTTTCTTTCTTTCTTTCTTTCAATTTTTTTTTACCACCCGTTAGGGAGTGTTGAATTGTGTATTCATTCGTTATGTACCATTTTAGTATGCCATCCTTGGAGCGCAGGAAAAGGTCTGTCCTTCATCTTGCGCTTCAGCGCATGCAAGGCAGACAGGCTCTTCACCTGTGCTTTCCTGGAGGGCATACATAAAATGGCTGTGTTGAAGAAATACATTTCTCCATATTGCCACAGTTTCACTGTTGCTCAGCACTTGAAAAGTGCTGCCCAGGATTTATACTTTTCCTTTCTTGGGGCTGCATTTTTCGCCTGCTGGCACACAGTCAAAATCATGTTTATGTATCCAACTAATCTTAAACATGAATTTTAATTTCTTTTAAAAATAATATTGTTTTGTTTTTATTTTCAGAGAATTGACTTGCATCATCAGAATCAGCATTGTGCGTGACTTTGATCAAGGTAGGCAATTTTTTGGAGTGGTAACGTTTATTGAAAATTTTTACTGAATGAAACCTTTAAAGGACCACTATAGTGCCAGGAAAACATACTCGTTTTCCTGGCACTATAGTGCCCTGAGGGTGCCCCCACCCTCAGGGACCCCTTCCCGCCCGGCTCTGGAAAGGGGAAAGGGGTCAAAACTTACCTTTTTCCAGCGCTGGGCAGGGAGCTCTCCTCCTCCTCTCCGCCTCCGATCCGCCCCGCTGGCTGAATGCGCACGCGCAGCAAGAGCTGCGCGCGCATTCAGCCCATCTCATAGGAAAGCATTTACAATGCTTTCCTATGGACGCTTGCGTGCTCTCACTGTGAAAATCACAGTGAGAAGCACGCAAGCGCCTCTAGTGGCTGTCAATGAGACAGCCACTAAAGGATTAGGGGGAAGGCTTAACCCATTCATAATTATAGCAGTTTCTCTGAAACTGCTATAATTATGGAAAAAAGGGTTAACCCTAGCTGGACCTGGCACCCATACCACTTTATTAAGCTGAAGTGGTCTGGGTGCCTAGAGTGGTCCTTTAATTACATACCTCCCGAAACACACACACCACACACACGCTATGCATTCATTATATACACACTACACAAATACACACAACTCCCCTGTATAAACACACTGCATCTAGTACATGTGTCATGTATATTTTGTGCATTTTCCTTTTTAAAATTGTTTATATTTAGAATTTAGAAATCGTAAATGTATTGAATATCGGTAAGCTATGGCTATTCGCGTTACATGAGCACTCTAGGCACCCAGGCCACTTCAGCTTAATGAAGTGGTCTGGGTGCCAGGTCCATCTAGGGTTAACCAATTTTTTAATTAAAATAGCAGTTTCAGATAAAATGTTATGTTTATAAATGGATTAATCCATCCTCCATTGGCTGTCTCTTGACAGCCGCTAGTGGCGCTTACGTGACATAGGAAAGGATTGTGAATGGTTTTTTATGGAGTGGCTGAAAAATTCAGCCAAAGACGAATAGAAGAAGTAGGAAGGGAAAAGGAGGAGGAGAGCTTCACGCCCGGTGCTGGATAAAGAGGTAAGTTTAACCCCTTCCTGACCCTATAGCCCGGCAGGAGGGGGACCCTGATGGTCGGTGCACCCTCCTGGCACTATAGTGCAAGGAAAAAGAGTGTGTTTTCCTCGCACTATAGTGGTCCTTTAAACCTCTACCATAGTGAAGAATTTCTGATTGCATTCCTATAGTTAACTTATCTGACGTTAAAATCTGTGAGAATGTCTAACGTCATCTAATTGCTATTTACATGTAAATGTCAGGGTCCACCTCCCGCCCGGCTCTTGAAAGGGGAAACTGTTTAAAACTTACCTTTTTCCAGCGCTGGGTGGGAGCTCTCCTCCTCCCATCCTCCTCTTCTCCTCCCCGTCGTCTTAATGCGCACGCGCGGCAAGATCTGCGCGCGCATTCAGCCGGTCACATAGGAAAGCATTCATAATGCTTTCCTATGGACGCTGGCGTGCTCACTGTGAAAATCACAGTGAGAAACACGCAAGCGCCTCTAGCGGCTGTCAATGAGACAGCCACTAGAGGAAATAGGGGAAGGCTTAACCCATTCACAAACATAGCAGTTTCTATGAAAATGCTATGTTTATTAAAAAATTGGGATAACCCTAGAAGGAACTGGCACCCAGACCACTTCATTAAGCTGAAGTGGTCTGGGTGACTAGAGTGGTCCTTTAAGCTTCACTATAACCTTGAGTGCTGGTCAGTTGTACAATTTATTTTTTCCATGGACTGCAAGCACCGGAATTATATATAAGAGCCTGTGTGCAATCGTGTGTATGTATGTATATGTATATGTGTGTGTGTGTATATGTATGTATGTGTATATATATATATATATATATATATATATAGAGAGAGAGAGAGAGAGAGAGAGAGAGAGAGAGATATGTTTGTTGTGTATATACACACGAAAAGCTTTTTAATGGTGTTGTTATTTTTATTAACGGTTTTTATTACTCTGTCTTTGAGATACATGTAATAATGTATAAGTGTGTTAGTGTGAGTGTATATATACACACAAACATCTCTTTCTCTCTCTCTCTCTCTATATATATCTCTTTCTATATATATATTTTTTTTCTTCCTGACAGCCTCTATCTCTCTCTCACTATATATATATATATATATATATATATATATATAATATATATATAGAGAGAGAGAGAGAGAGAGATATATATATATATATATATATATATATATAGCGGCTGTCATGAAGGCAAATATTTTTTTAAAATAATAATATATAAATATATTCCCAAAAAATAACGTCACACTAGAAATTGCAAATATTACATATTCTTTTATTCCAGAACCAACGTCGGTTCTGTAATAAAAGAATATCCAAGATTTGAAATTCATAGAAATTCAGAGAGTGACGGTATTTTGTTTGGGTATGTTGTTATAGCGACCAGAGCA